CCCTTCCTCCATTTTTACATCCCCGCTTCATTCGCCTCCAACCTCGCCCTCCTCCATTATCACCGCCCCACTTCCTCTACCAACCTCCTCAACCTCCTCCATTATCACCGCCCCACTTCCTCCACCAACCTCCTCAACCTCCTCCATTTCTGGTTCTTCCTCCATTTGTTTCTTAATTTTCTTCTTCTTTACCGTGTCACTACCATGTAAGGAGATTTTACAAACTTGCTATTTCGGCTCTCTCTTTTCAAGCCAGTTTGCACTCCAACCGCCCTACCAACTTCCTCCTCCATTGTACCAACTTCCTCCTCCACTGTACCAACTTTCTCTACCAGCTTATCCACTTTCTCCTCCACCCTTTTCATGCACTCTTCCATCTTGTCAAACCTTGCATAAATGGTTGTTGTAAAACTCTCAAACAGGTCGTTTATGAGGTCAACAACCTTATTCTCCCGACGCCGATGTCTCGACAAAGTAATACTTGTTGTATCGGTTTGCTGAGGCATACGAACCTCTTCCTACCTCTTCTCCTCCTCATCCTCGGGCCTCCCGCCCATTGGAGCTTCATAATCCTCGGCATCAACCACATTGTCAAGCAATGGCCCTACAACTGCCGTCACATGTGTGACCCCTCTTAGGTCCCACATCAGGCGGTCTATCCGTTCATTCCTTTCATCCTCCAATGCTTTGAAAGATGTGACATAGTCCTCTTCCACTTCATCCCCAGTAGCGATGAGAAAGGGACGGACGACTCCCTGCAATAAGAAACAAAATCAATCAGATTGAAGCGACATTTTAAACAACTGCATATTCAAAAGCTTAATCCTTTAATCTTACCCCAGCCGCTTGAATCTCAATCTCTATTTGGTCGTAATCTGAATGGTTACACCTCCCGACATGCCACCGCAACATCCTAGGAAATTGCTGTTGCACATCCAAACTGTTGCTCCTCCTCCCCGCCTTAGCTAAGACAGGGATGACCTCATACATCCAAGCTTACATTGTAAAAAAACAATCTATATCATGATTCAAACACATATATTATAAAAAAAAAATAACAGAAAGCTATTAATATTTACCTACATTACCCATGGGAAGCCAAACAAAATATACGTGCTTGGTTTATCCTTCCTGACCCATTGGGCATGCTTTAACGCCATGTTTAGTTTTTTCAGGCTGTTGATGGTTCGCTCAAATGATATTCGTCCCCATGGATAAGAATTAAAGAACTCCAAGTCGCTTACAAACAACAACCAATCTTTCTGAACATCTTTTGTTGAGTCAACAGCCAATAAGATAGAATGTAAAAATAATAGCAAGCACACTTTTATCTTCTCTCCATCATTAAACCGAACTGTTTCTAGCCTCTCCTCTAAAACGTGTCCTGTAATAGACTTTGCCCCCTGCAAAACCTTCTTACAAAATCTTATGGCTCCCCGACTCATCCTTATTGCATCTGCCTCCGCCTTATCTGGCACTTCCCTGCATCCTAAGCTCGTCACCAAGACATACTCCATCATCATAAACCGTAGTGGCTTTCCATCCACTGCGAACCACATTTATTTTTTTTTTTTTTTTGCATTTTACTGAGTGCAGCAACATGTAATGCACTCCCTGGCCTCAAAATGCCTTTTTCCAATTTGTTCCGATTCTTAAAAACTGACCAAAACAAGTGTGATGGAAATCTCTTTCACCATGCCTCATTTCAGCTAAAATGTCCTTTATTCTGTAAAAAACATCCCAACTCGACCTCACCGTCACCCTTGCAAGGAATTAGGGTACCTTTTCACTTATAAGCTCCAACTCGTAGTCTCTACAGTTCACGGTCTGCACAATCTGTACAATCGATATAAACAAAATGTCAGTAACAAAAATAAACCAAAACAACTAATAAACAAAATATCAGCAACAAAAAATTACCACTGTAGTCGCTTAAGCGATTTCGGATTGCTTAAGAGATCTTGACTCTGTCTCGTGCAAGATCGCTTAAGCGACCAAGAGTAAACTGAAAGAATCTCTTAAGCGATACAAAAGATCGCTTATTATATCTGTGATTCTGCCTCAACAAGATTGCTTAAGCGATCAAGAGTAAACTGAATCAATCGCTTAAGCGATCCTTTGTATCGCTTAAGCGATCATGCGTGCGATCATGAGTAAAACAGATTAATCGCTTAAGCGATACAAATGATCGCTTAAGCGATAGTACAAGCAATATTCCTAAAACAACGTACCCTTTCTTCGCCAGCCTTCTCCTCGTCGCCTGAATCCTCAGACGACTCCTCCTGGCCTGAATTCTCGTCGAACTCCTCCTCCTAGCCTGAATTCTTGCCTGACTCCTCGTCTTCAGAACCGTTTGCCGATTCTTCCCTCTGTTCTTGTGCCACCGACGTCTCCTCTGCCTGTGGACCACCTTCACTGATCAGATGATCCATCAGAGCAATCATTGAACTGCTTGCGCCACCGGAGTCTAGGATTCAAAGTGGCGTTGGGTTTTCCTCCTCATTGTGAGTGTCAGCCATGGTTTTGGATTGAATTTGGTGTCAAAGTTTGCAGTTTCGATCGGAAATGTAGACTATATCACCGAAAATCGCACAGATTCCATTTAGGGTTCAAGAAATCGATTTTAAGGTTCAAGAAATCGATCGAAAATCGCGACTATATTGCCGGAAATCGCGACTGTATTTGGTTTAGGGTTCAAGAAATTGATTTTAGGGTGCAAATTTGCAGGTTCGATCAGAAAAAATTGCAGTCTCACTTTGGTTGAAGAAATCGCTTTTTGCCCTAATGAATTTCGAGTAAGCGAGGTGAATAGGTGGGGCTTGTTTTGAGAAATTTCAAATTTTAAAAACTTTCATTATTTTTTCGGCCCACATATGTTTTAATCTTTTCATTTTAACCCATTTTACGTGTTTAATTAATCCTAACTATGCCACGTCATCTTCTCTAAATTAAAAGAAAATGAAAAACATTTTCAAGGCCATTTTCTTAAATCGAAACTTCAGAGGGCCAGGCAGCTAAATTTTCTCCTCTAGAATTTGTACCTTTAGGCTAGAGCTTGGTAATCACTTATTAGTGGATTGTGCTATAGTTTTTAAAATCTCATTGCTATTCCTCAAAAAAGTATGAAATGTATGTTTGCATATTCGTCCATAGATCAAATCAATAGTATTATGTAGCCTCAATTAGCTCAATGTTAATCATAGTTAAATTGACCAAAAATACGTAATAACATACATACATGTAGCTAATTTATGAAACACTTTAAATTAATTAAGAACCTTCAAAACATTAAATATATATATTTATTAACAATTGTTAGATATGAAGTTTAAGAAGTTCATTCTACATAATAGTTGCTTCAATCATTTTTATTTTTATTATTATATGATCTATGTTCTAATAATGTTTTATCAAGATTAATAAGGGATTAAAAAAATACATATACCCACGTGGTACAAAATCTCAATTGGTGCACCTACACTTGTATACCACGACAGTCCAAAGAATCCTCAACTTGGTCAAGTACATTTTGGCGCTCAGGTTTCACAAAAGGACAGTAAACCTAATAGAATCTAAAAGTAACAATTAAATTCTTAACGGTTAGGGAAAAAATCAAAATGAGAACATATGTTAATGAAAATAATTAAAAAAAAGACACAAGTTTTCTAAAAGACAAAAATAAGACACTTAATGGTATAAAACCGTTTGATTTAATTAAAAAATGAGTTAGCATGAGATAGTCATTATTTTTATTATGTTGACTATTATGATATTGATTCAAAATATACAAAATGATTATTCAGTCCTCTTTAATTGATAAATTTCCAAAAATAAAAATTAAAAAATATTTTGGCTAATTTATTTTACTTTGATTTAATTTGCTTTTTAACAATGGTAATTATGTTGTATTCTAGAATATTTAATGGCTCTCTCTATTTTGCCTTATTATTATTATTATTTTTTTGGTAAAATATTATATAATGAATATCTAATTAGTAATTCCAGCAATTTAATTAATTTCTTTTAATATTTTTTCTTGACAGTAGAGTTAAATAAAATCGTAATATATCATTTCCTTGTATGTAAGGAGATGTTTATCTCTTAATTGTTATTAATATATTTTAATAACTCTTTTTAACTTTATATATAATCAAATAAATTTACTATTATAGCCTTTTTAAGGTTGAACTAAACGGTTTTAGACCCTTAAGTGTCCTATTTTTGTTTTTAAAAAATTTGTATCTTTTTTTAATTGTTTTCACAAACAGTAAACAATCGTTTGAAGAATTTTTATAGAAGTCTAAAGCATCCCTAATCTAATAATTTTTATTTTCTTATAATTAACCAAACTGTTCTAAATGTTTAACAAAATTGTCATTAACACCTTTTATTTTTTTATAATTCTATTAATTTTTAAATAAGAAATTAAGAGTTACTTTCAGATTTTACTGGACCTAATGTGCATACACTAAACTTTAGGGACCAAAATGTATTAACTCCATTTTGAAAAAATTTAAGTTTTAAACCTATTTGAGTGGACTAAGCTAAGCAGCCCTTATCTCAAAGTTCCACTAATCCACCACTTAACCTTTCTTAGCATTTGACTTAGTGTCCACTAATATTGAAATTAAATAATTAGTAAACTACAATTTCTTGCACAAATGCCCTCACCACAATCTTATCTTATCACACTGCTTTGGCAAGTCAAAAATAACTTAAATTAATTAACATATATCTCAGCTTCAATCTAAGAGATACAAGAGAGCAGAACAGTAATTTCTTGATACAGTACTATGAAGATGATACTATGTTGAAAGATTATATATTTCTATTGAACACTTTCAATTACCAGAAATATCTTTCTTCTAGCTAAACTGGGTATGTTAGGCCGGCCAATAACATCAATCATTCCTTTCTGCAATCAAATTTTTTGATAAATTTAGGTTCAGCTAAATTTATCAACTAAGTTAGTTTTTAAGAAACAAGTTCCCAGCATTCACCTTAGTAACACCTAGAGTTTGGCAAACCGAGCGATCTTAGAAAGCACTGTTCTGAAGCTTCGAATACCTGCTCCAGATTTCGAGCTTACCATCATCTGAAGCAAAACCAAAGCCAATTAGAGAAATGCCTTTTTTAATATTGAAATTAGAGAAAAAAAGAAAAAAGAAAGATTCAAAATAATACAGCAATGAAAGAGAGTTTCTTACCACAGGTTGAACAATAGACTTGTTTGCCTTGAGGTTCTGCATAATAGATGGAATTAGAAAGCTGTTAGTCACGAAGGTGAGAATGTGAAATGCTAATTCTAGAAAAGGAAATTTCACCTCTTCAATTTGCATTGCGCGGCGTGCCACATCAACTGGGAACACAGTATCTGTCTTAGTTAATACAATCTGGTATTTAGTTTGAGATCTGCAAAGTTAATCATGAAAGAGATTAACCTCGTGTATGTGCAAAAGTTTTAGTGTTCGCAGTTTTGTTATGCACATGCAAGGATAAAAATGCAACACCAAATATGGTAATGTTGTGCTATATGAAACATATCGCCCAAATTATAGTAATCTTATGGTAATGTTAACCAAACTACCGCCACACATGCCAAAATGAAAGGTCTGTCGTACTATCCAATGACAGTCTCAGAGATCTCTGATTTGCTTCCCAATGCAGATTTAAGAAGCATCATAAATCAAAAGGAATGCATATGCCGCCATTTAATCATGCTTAGCAAGTTTCAATCTGAAAAGCTGTGAAGGGTACCTTTCCATTAAATCAATAAGTTCATGATCTCTTGGCTTCATGCCCCATTTTGTGTCGATAAGAAGGCATACTCGTTTTAGACCAACTCTGGTGGAAACATACTCCTTTACCTACAATATTTTTACATTTTAGGAGCAAAAGGTTACAGGCATATACAATGATGCAACATTTTAATTACACTAACATTTTAGATCTACATCAGAACAAGAAGATCATACAAATTTATTCATGTATCTGAACGTGCACCAACAGGAATAGAGGATGCGATCAAGAACTCAATGAGCCACAGCACATACCGACCACTATACTTCAAAGTTATGAAACTACAAGTTGTAACAAAGACATGTATCTGAAATATATTGTTTAACAGAAACCCTTTGGTGTAGCCTTGAACAGAGGAAAAAGTGAAAAGAACTATAACACTACCAAGATATACTGAGTTTCAATGTAATCCATTTATCAGGCAGGCATACTGCATTTGTAAAAGGTCAACTCAAGAGAATTCATCCAAAATAGGTTACATATATTTTTTATACAAAATTTAAATCGTTCTCAATATAAATGCAGTTTTAATGATCTGTTCTTTTTCTCCTCAAATATGAATATCAATGTTTAATTGTTTGTTCTTTAACAAACTAGTCATCGTAAAACCAACACAATTACATATTTGTCCTCATTAATTTTTTAGTGTGGTCAGTGGTAGTGAATGAGAAAATAGAATTTAGATTATTGCTGCAAAAGAGAATAGTAATAATTGGTGATAATGGTGGTGCTGATGCTGATCTTGGTTGGATGAGAGAAAAGGTTTTGATGACAAAATGTAAAACTGGAGGCAAAATTATGGGGAAAAAGAAAAGATTAAAACAACATCAGCACTTTTATATTAATATTAAAAAATGACCATGGAAAAATGATTCAAAATTAATTTTCTTAGAATAAACATTAAGTCAAAAGAACAAACACAGTCAAGACAATAATCATTTGAGGAAAAAAAAAAAAAGAAAAGAAAAGAACAACACCTAAGTGAATGTGACCCTAACTTTGAGATAGATTGTGATACTGCCCAAAAATTGACCATAATAATGTCTGTCCTAGCACTTTAATGTTCAGCAACAACAAATAGATACCAATTTTTGGATTAATTGGCAATACAAATGAGGTCAGATAAAACCATGAACTGATGACAAGCGATGATACAGATAAACCACATTAACCTCAGAGGCAGAAATTATCATGTCAATATAAAACAACTTTAGAAGAAAGCAGCTATGCCACAATAACTTCATGTGCCATATACTCACAAGTTCCTCCCAAGCATCTTTAACTTCCTCCTTTGCATAAGCAAACCCATATCCAGGCAAATCAACCAAGCAGAGTTTTGTTCCCAGTTGGAAGAAATTAATTGTCTGTTAAAAATAACTGTTAATACTGCAAAAATTCCAAAACTTCAATCCAGTTTGCAGAAAATATAAGCACCTGAGTGAGGCCTGGCTTGTCTGATGTCCGTACAACACCCCATTGTCGGGTTAGTGCATTAAGCAGCGATGACTTCCCAACATTTGACCTTCCTAATAAGACAAATAAAATTTTAAGAAGGCCTTATTCATTATTTCATTTCTCAAAAAGGATTCCTTTTAAATCAACATAAACATCACATATGCAACAAAAACATGCATAACAAACTGTTAGAAAAATATATAAATATCCACTTAGAACTGTCAGAAAAGTGAAACCAATTTATAACACACCAGTAAAGAACCAAAAGATCTATTTGATTGGATGACCAAATAATCCAAAGTGAAGCAGATTTTATAACTTATTGAAAATTCTTTTTCAAAGAAGTTTCCGTACAAAAGTAAATAGCATAATTGACTATAATGTCTCCAGAACATCCTAAGCCACTATAAAAGTGCTATTGAGACGATTGCATATGATACTAGGATTTATAAAATTTCTTAAACTAGAAAGTTAAAAATCTACAATAGAAAAACAAAAGAATTGGCAATTTTTAAATATTGAGATCTAAAATCAACACTAAAACAACTTGGAAACACCAAATATAATAAAATAAAACAAAGAAAGAAAGAGAATAATAAGGAAAAGAAGTGGTTAAGCACACAAAAAAGTGACCATTTGAAATCTCTACCTGCAAATGCAATCTCTGGAAGATCAGGAGCGGGAAATGATGATGAAACCTTTGCAGCAGCGAAAAATGTCAATTTATTCCTAAAAATCTGTTGAAAGTAGTTAGCAGTGATATTTATTGAATGAAATATCAAGCGGTCAACCATAGCTTGTTTTAATTTTTTATTACATATAAGATATTGATTGAAGAAGTCAAATTAAAATCAGAAACAAAAATGTATAAACTGAACATGAGTCACATAAAAACCTACATGGTCTTCAATTCTCTCTCTCTCGGAACTAGCTGAGAAGGGAACATTATCTAAGGGCACAGAAAGCTCAATGTTATATCCGGCTCTCCGCAGCTCAATTAAGCGTCTACGGCCCAACAACTGTCAAAGCAATAATCCAAAATCACAATACAGAAGGAGGATGTCCAGAAGATATAATCAAAATATAGCGTAAAAATCTCAAGGGCTACCCATACAAATTACATTATCTTCCACAAAGGAAAGGATTGAGGGACTGGGTTGTATCGCACGAAATTGTGCATTCTTTGACATTTCAGCATCTTTCTTCAAATCTTTTTTCTTCTCTTTAGCACTCTCTGGAAAACAAGAGAAGTGGAAAGAGAAAGATAAAATTAATAAAAGTAAAAATAAATAAATAAATAAATAAATAAAAGTAATTGACAATTAAAACTAAAGGCAACATTAGAGGAGTCTAGGAATATAACTCTAAATAGGCAATCAGAAATAGTCTTTACATAAAAGTAAAAGTAAACCAAAACTGAGCAGAAGCTCAGCTGGTATCCTGAAGATGTTCAAAACAACTTAAGAGCGCTGGTACTCAAAAGACGTCTGAGACAATTTAAGTTTAGAAAGATTCAAGCCAGAAGCAGGCTCAAAATAACAGGGAATTTCTAATGTTCTGACATTCTTAGACAAACCATCACCCTCCATTTCCCACAAAGGGAACACACAAAGGTAATCAGGTAAATTTATTGTGCCAAAAGAAAGACATGAAGTCGACATCTAAAAGGAGCCAGCAAGGAGAAATGTCACTTAAATTAAGAGCTCCATTTATCAGATTTAGGAACCAAGGCTAAGGCCTCAAACATAGGGCAAAAATGCCTACTAATAACACTCCTGATTCTTTAGTATTACACAAAGCTTTTATTGCTATTGTATTTTACTATCGAAAGTCCACAGACAAAACAAAAGTAATAATGTGTCTATTATATAGATCATTATTTTATCTGGACATTACAAAACTTATAACATTCTCTTCAGTCCTTTGCACCAAATCCAAGGGGAGAAAATAGAGATTAACAAATTCTCATTACATTTATACAAAACAACAAATATATTAACTACAACCACCACTCAGACTTAAAATATCATAATAGCAATTAAGCCACATGCTACAGATAATAGAGTTGAGTCTTCAGAAACAAGTAAACGAATGTTCATTAGGAAATCAAGAAAGTAGATGCATCGGGGAAGGATCTGTGTCACCACATCTTTTACACTATTTTGAGACCGTTAAAATAAAGTGCATGTAATATATAAAATCAAAAACATATATTGATCATCAATTCAACCAAAATGAACAAATAACTTACTAACCCTCAACAATTATGCAGTCATCTAGCCGCTTATTTGAGATGTCGTACGGATCTATCCGAATCACCCGCTTTTTCTTCTTTGGCTGATCATCTAGAGCATCTGAATCATCATTGAAACCTTTCTTGTTTCTAACTGTTTTCTTCGAGGAATTCAAGAGAGACGCATCTGAGTACTTGTTCCGACTTGCATCCAAGTTCTTATTTGAGACAGATTTGCTTGTGGTTAGTTGCTTCGATGAAACATTCCTACCACGATCCACTTTTTCTGCTTCCTTTTCCTTACCTCTCTGTCTAGTGGACACTTGTGCAGTCTCCACCACATCCTTAATTTTGGAAGAAAAACGTTTAGTCTCAGAAGTGGCATCCTTTTTCTTACTGGAAACCCACATTGTACGAGATTTGTCACCATTTTTTTCTTTAACAAAATTACTTTTGACCCTACTCATACCCTTCTTAGATAAGGCTTTCTTATTGTCTACCTCTTCATTGTCATATATCATCATATCCCCACCCATATTTTTGTCCGTGTAAATTCTCTTCCTTTTCCTATCAAAATTTACAGGTTTAAACCTTCCCTTGGTAAAACCTTCTTCATCACTCCCTTCCTGACCTCTCCTAAATTTTTTATCTTTACCGCTCGACTTCAAGTTCCTCTTCCCGCCATTCTCTTTCTTGCGGAATTTATCATCGTCCACAGTACGTTGAGCCTTTTTATTCTCTTCCTTGGAATTCTTAGACTTCCCAGTAGAAAGTTTAAGTTTCTTATGGAGTTTATGCCTTAAGCTATCTTCAGTAGTCATTTTCTAGCACTTATTTTCAATACTCATTCAACAAACACAATCACTCAACTGTCTAACCACAACAATGAACCTTTGAGGTCAAGAAAATCCAAGTAACATAGAGTTTACAGCCCTCCCTAAAAAAAAAAAAAAATAATAAATAAAACTGCGAAACGAGTATCAATGTTCAATACCCAAAAATCAAAATGAACAGAAAACGGCATATACATTACAACTCGGAAAATCTAAAGTCAGTTGGGCAATAAAACAAACAAGTTGCGGGTTCCTTGAAGAGTCTCAAACAATAAGTACACAACAAAATAAATAAGTATTTTCTACGACAAGAATACTTTGTTTAACTTGAAACAGCCAAGAACGAACCCAAAATAATAAAAATTAAGAAAAAAAAACCTGTTCAAATGTGTTCATGCTATGCATTTATTTACCTCCTACTTGAAAAAGCACTGAAATGTTTCGTTGTTTATGCTTGGGTCTGATGTCATAGTTTTTGAAGCAGTGAGGTTAGTGGGTTTTCTTATTTCCTTTGCCGCTTTCTGCCCTAGCCTTCCAACCATGATTTGGGCTGGACTTTGGGCCTCACTTTTCCTCCTTCTCTACTTTTTATTTCATTTTCCCCATATCTGATATCTTTCACATTTGCCTGGCTCATAAGTATAAAAAATCTTTAAAATATCAAACAAACTCTTAAAAAATTATAGAAACCCCCTTTCAAGAGTGTTTTTAATAGTTTTTGAACGAAACGGATGAATATAATACTAAGCAATCTCTCACATAAAGGAAAATAAAATAAACCAGACTAACGTATAAATATCTTTCTTTTTTGTTTTTATTATTAATTTTAATCTTTCCTATTTTATCAATAAGGGTTCAATTATTTTCACATTTGTGAGTTCTTTTATGAATTTTGTATGTTCATTTTGAAAATATTGAAAATGATTGGAAAACTTAAAAATGAAAACATGTTCAACATATTTGTTTGATAACATATATGAAAACATGAAAAATGAAAACGTGTTCGACATATTTTTCTTAAAACACAAAGAAAATAATGAAAACTACAAAAGTAATCACCTCTACAACCGATAAAAACCCCCAAAATTACCACTTCTTTTACTCATTCTTGACAAGCTTGTCTCAATATGTCAACAGTTGAGTTCCGTTTGCAAATTTGTGTTAAAAATCTAGATTTAAAAAGAAAATTTATAATTTAAGGAAGAGAAGAATAAAATATTAGAAAAAAAAGAGAAAAATATTATTATTTATTAAAGCTAGGCACTTTTTTTTTTCCCTTAAAACCGTTTCTTCTCTTTTACGAATTAAATTGTAAGAAAACAGTATACGAACGTGAATGTTGTGTGTGATTTTTCCGTTAAGCTTGGAGAAGTCAAAAGCTCGTGAGGATTTAGTTCGACCCAAAATTAGTTCGACTTAGCACTTATCCAACCCAGCATAATCTCATCGAGATATAGCTCGATCTAGCACAAGCTAATCCCAACTAACTCTAGCAATTGTTCGACAGATCACAGATAAGCTAAAATCTTGGATATTTCAGAAGAGATCCGATCAATAGCAATGACAGCGCGATCTTAGCGCACAATCATGAGAATATCATAATTGCAATTCCAATTTAATTGCAATCCCGATAATTTCTCTCTTTCCTTCTTTACAAACTTGTATATAAAACCCCTCCAACGATGAGAGAGGGTTTGGCAAATTATTCTAGGCAGAACTTATTGTTTTTCTTGTAATTTATCAAAAGCAATAAGATAATAGTGGACGTAGGCTCAAGTTCTAACTCGCCAAACCACTTTAAAAATCGATTGTGTTCTTTACATTATTACACATGTTTTGTTCAATTGCTGATTATCTTTAATCACGCACACATCGGTTCCGATTCCACCAAGGTCAATCAGATCACTAGGGTTGATGCGATTTTCATATCAACATTTTGTGCTAGAAGGAAGGCCTCTGCCTACTTTCCTTATTTCCGGTAAGAAGCAAGCAACTTTAGTGAATCGATTACCTGAAATTTCCAATGGTACGTACCAGATCCAAAAGAACCACCGAGAACTATGAAAATGTGGAGACCACCAACCAAGAGGTGCATCAGATCGCTCCTCTAGGTTGACCACCAATGCCGCTAGTGCAACAGGTCACAAATCAGCAAGGAGTAGGGGCTTCAAATCCAGAGAACGGCCAATTGATAGAGATGATAAGAACGATGGTTGCACAAGCGGTGCAACAAAACGTGGTTAAGTTAAGAAACAAGCAACCGGTCAACCAAGACCTCGATCAGCCACACTTCACAGAGGTTACTCCTGTTAGAGTAGATGCCCTAGAGCCAATCAATTATTGTAGAATTGACTCTTTATAATAATGTTCATTAATCAATAAAGGGCATTTTATTCTATATCGCGTAAATCATTATTTTTGCAATATGTATTGATATATGTCTTTAGAATGGTAGAACCATGACGAGAGTATCAAGTGTTTCAAATCTTGATAGTGAGAACCCTATGAGCACATATGGTGGCCATTCTAGAAACGTCTGTAGCCCTAGTATTATTCTGAAGTAAGGGCATAGATAATACAGTAAGACTATCATAGTGTTGAAAGACCTTGTCGAAAGGCAGTGACTGATCTCACTTATCAAGGTTGTTTGGTGACAACCTAGTGCAACACATGGGTGCTTGCTTGTCACGGGCCCGTCTTACCGGAGGCACGGTCGGGTGGAGTTCACAAAGCACCAACCCACTGTTTGTGACTCACAAGGTATTGTCCCCCCCCCCCCCCCCCCCCCCCCCCCCCCTTCTTAAGGGATTTATTCACCTCCCCTACCACTCGAACCCAGGACGAAGGGGCAATAGTCAATTGGGAAGCATGGTGAGTACCATCACCATCAGGCTAGGGCCGTGACATTGCTGTAGGCAGATATACCGCAACAAGTTCACTAGACTGACCCACTAGAGGATTCCATATGGATGGTAACCCCAGTGTCTATGGAACAAATCCTCTAACGAATGTTGGTGCATGTGATCCTTAGACTTGAGATCACTGGAGCGCCTTGTGCACCGATTGGTGCAGTTTGACACTAGCCTAACACAGTTCTTTTCAAAGCTGTCAATACGATGGTGATTGGCTGTATCGAGGAGTATATCAAGACTATGGTGGATAGATAGAGGATTCATACTCCCGGGTACGGGAGAAGTTATCTCACGACGCAATTAAGTATATGGCAATGACACTAAAACTGTGGCCACAGTGGGATTAAGTTGTTGCTCTATCTGGTTTATAATACAGGTCATTGGTCCAGAAACTGAATACATAATATCAAGAGTAACTGGAGATTGACACTATTTCTATGCCTTCGTCTCGTCGAGATACAGTATGATGAAAGGATCGAATTGTACGATAACCATATCGTTGACAAGTAGCTACTTTGTTGAATCCAAATCTATCGGGTGGCCATGATGCCTTGCTAGGGGCCAATCCTGGTCTGTGTATTAGTGAGACGATTAATTGGTGTTAATCGCGATACTATACACTGCCAGTATGATGAGAAGCTTATGGGTCACACACATAGAAGATAATTTAAGAGCCAGGAAGAAAGAAGGGCGTTTTCATCTTTTTGGGCGAAAATGTATTTTGGTAGTTTCACAGTGCAATTAAATTTGTTGAGGTTGTAGCCTTTATTTAATTTGTTAGAAAAATTAAATAAGTGAAATTACGTTTAAATGTGTGTTCGCACATATTTAATTAAATCATCATTATTGTCAAATGTTAATTAAATATTAATTGATTTTAATTGAGATAATGATGAATTAAATAAAATATCTAAATGGGGTGTTTGGGTTGGAGCCCAAGCCCATTCCATATGGGAATAGGGCAACTAAGTTTGCCTATAAAAGAAAAAGTGTTTATGTGATTTGAATAAGATTTTAATTTGCCTTTTTGAGAGGAAAAAAAAAAAAAAAACACACACACACACACACACAAACACACACACACAACACAAAGAAAAACACTCTCCCACACCAATTTTGGTTTGTGCCAAAATCAAACTTTTGTTTTTCTTCTTGATCTCTTAAGGCCAAGGAGGATCTAGCAAATCCCTCATTGGTTCCTTGTGATTGTCTTTGTGTGGACTTCTTGGTTCGATCCTACACTTGGATTGGTAGCAAACACGTTCAGAGACAATATTGGTGGAGCCTCCAACGTAGGTATGAATCTAAACTTTAGATTTACTTTTCTGCAGATTCTTGTTGTAATATATAAACTGTAATTTTCTGTGCCCTGATTTTGGGTTCTAAGGAACGATCCATGGTTGTAAAAATTTTGTTTTCCGCTGTGCAACCAGGTCGTTTCCTAACAATGGTATCAGAGCCTAGGGTACTAGATTTTACAGTTTTTATGAATGGTTGATTACATGTATTTGTTGATAACATGTTGCCTTGATGGATCTGCCATGAAAAACCTAGTTTTTGTTAAATCTGAAAAATCTGTAAATCTACTGTTGATTGAATGAATCAATTGATAAATTGGTTTAATAATGTGTTGATGAATGTTATATTGGTTGGTTAATATCTTGGTTGAACGTGTGTGCGTTCAATTTGATTTGGATTCATGTTATTACACAAAAATGCAAAAAAAACACGAACTTGCGATTTGGGGATTTCCAGGTTTTGCCGCGGCGAAGTACATTCTGGAAATCTTCGCCGTGGCGAAGATAAAACCTTTGCCGCAGTGAAGATAAAACCTTTGCCGCGGCGAAGATAAAACCTTCACCACGGCGAAGTCTGTAGCTTTCCCAATTCTGTATTTTTTCGCAAAGGGACCAATCTGCAGTTTTTAATAACCTGTAAAGCCAATGAACATTCTGCACATTTAAGAGGGTAATTAATATATAACCCACCCGATTAAAAAAAAATTGATTGTTTTTTAAATGTATGCTTTGTACTTGTTTGTATATTGCATGGTGCCCGGTACATGAGCCTTAGACCTATGGTGAACGTTTTTAATGATTTTGGGTATGTATGGTTGTAATATTTTAAATAGGGTCTGCGTGTCCTGCCTTCTCTCCTCTTCTCGATGTACATTCTTTTCTCATCTTATTCCCCTCGAATGTAAACCGAGGTTTCTAAATTTGTTGATGTAAAATTAGTTTTAGATTAATTTTATTGTAAATTTAGAATGATGCTTATGTAATGTACTTGAAGACGACCATACTTGAAGACTCAAGGTTTTATTACAGTACCCCTAGGTGACCCACCAATTCATCTAGGCTCGAGGAAATCGGTTTTAGTTGGGCCATGTACTGGCACGTTTAAATTTTTGTTTAGAATGCATGCTAAGGTTGAATGTTGAATAACATGCCAAACAATGTCATTCTAATAAAGATAATAATCTGATGAGACATTAAATAACAAACCCCTCAACTAAAGTATATTAAGTCACGTAAGCCTTCCATCACCATGGTT